GTTGCCCGTGGGGGGGGGGGGGGAGGTTTGCAGCTGGCTGGCAGTATGGGGGGAGGTTTGCAGCCTCCTTGCTATTGGCTGGAGTGCCTGGCCAGCTGCAAACCCTGCCCCTCACTCCCGGCTGGCTGCAACCCCCCCGCCCCGCTTCCATGGGACACTCCACCCACCCCACCAGTCTCAGTTCACCAGCCGCACCTGTTCTGGACTCATTCAAAAAGCATTTGGATGTTTATCTTGCTGGGGTCATTTGACCCCAACAGACTTCCTGCCTATGGCAGAGGTGCTGGACTTAATCTCGCAAGGTCCCTTCCAGCCCCTAATATCTATGAAATCTATGAAAACAGTGACTGGGCTCCCAGGAACCAAGTACAGTAGAAGTTCTGTTATCTGGCATCTTACAACCCGGCATGGTCCACTAGCCAGCATGCCGGCTTGTAAGATAAAGTGAAACTGGAAGTGCCCATCATGGCATTTCTGGTTTCTCCGAGCCCCCATGGCCTGGTGCAAAACAGCCTGTGCTGCTGAGCCCCCATGGGCTGGAGGCATAACAGGCTGTGTGGGACCCGCCTCCCTGTCCTGCAGGCAGAGTACAGGTGATCAAAAATGGCCCCGCAGGAGGGGAAGGATCCTGCGGGAGGAGCGGAGGGACGCCCCAGATGTGGTGTGAGAAGCGGCGGCCGGGGCCGCTCAATTAACTGGCATATTTTGTTATCCGGTATCCCTCATTCCCGGGGTAATACACAGAGAAAATGAAGCTGAAACAAACACATTAGGGATTCCAATGAAGGAGGGGGAAAGTTAAAAAAAACAGTTCAGAATTGTTGTCTAGAAACTTCAGCTGGATACTTAATAGATTGTAAATCCAGAAGGGACCATTGCAGTAATCTAATCCGACTCCCTGCTTATCGTGAACCATAGAATTAACCCAATAATCCCAATATGCAGGATAACCTGCAGTGTTGAAACAGATGGGATGCAAAAAAGAGGGGATGCTTCATTCTGGAGACTGTTACATCAGTTGAAATGGTCAAAGGAGTCACATTCGAGTGTGTGTGTGAGTGTGTGTATGTGTGTGTGCATGTATATATATATACTTGTGTGTCTGCATGTGTTTCTAATATATATTTGCATGTCTGCATACACACACACACACACACACACACACACACACACACACACGTATATATAGGGGGAGGAGGGCTGGTAGTGTGGTGTGAATCAGACAAGAATACTGCCTCAGGTTTATCTGTCGTCAAGTCCTCTCACTTGAAGAATGAGTTTTTTTTTTCTTTTCATTATTCAGGCCTTTTATTGTTACAGGGGAGTCAAGGTAAGGATTTCTGTGCATCATAATTGCCTACCTAACATTGTATGTACCTTATTTAGCTATTATTTTAGAGGAAAGTGGAAATTTCTAACTCTTGAAAGCATAGCTGTAAAAGCCCTAAGTGCAAAGAGTCTTTTATATTGCTTTTGGAGCACGTAAGGACTTATAAAAAATGCCAGAGATTTTATGAAGAGTCTTAAACCATGTAAAAGCTCCTTAATTTGAAGTGCAGAAGAAACAGTGCTGTTTGGCAGTCAAGATGTACTCTTTCAGCAGCATGATGATAGTTAAGAAGAATGTGTAGGGAAAAATGGGTTCAGTCCTTTAAGGAGCCAAAACAGCTCCTTTGGAAAGGTTGGTGTACAACAGTGGTTAATAGGACTAAGAAACACAGTTTCTTATAGTAAGTTACTTCTTATACATAGTAACTGCGCAGTTAACGAGCACAGCATTATGAGATTTACCTCAACGTCAGTCTATAGATAAACAGTGAAGATTAAGACTTATTAGCTCCTGAGTCCACCTCCTTGCAAATGCTAGATGTAGTTTCACAAATTGTCTTGTAATAATTTCATTTTCCCATTATGTAAGGTACATTTATGACATGTAATCTAGAAACACATGTGCAATGACAGTACCATCACCCTACAGTGATTTGTATGATCTTTATAATAAAAAGGTAAGTATTATTCATTGGTAAAGGAGCTCTTGGCATTTTTCCTCAGCTGATCATTCTCCTTGAATTTAATTGCTGATTTCCACATGTAAATGCATGTGAAAATATAAATAAGTCTTACACCATTCTTATTTGGCTCTTATCATGCATCTTATTATTTTTCCCAACAGCAAAAATCTATGCTAAGCAAAGGAGGATTATAGCAGAAATGTATGGGCTGGAAGGACATTTTTTAGTCTCTGATCTTGCTATTACTTTTACATTAGCCTTACTGCTTGGAATAATTCTATTAAAATCAACAGGACTGCTCAATATAATGAAGATAAAAAAACATCATGAGTCTTTGCAGGATTGGCCCTCAAACTTTGTTTGAGCAACTCCAGTATAATGAAAATTTAACTTGTAATGTAATTTATTTTGATGTTTTCCTGCTGAAGAGTACTAATGATGATCTAAAAAAGCCAAGGAAACAAAGTCCTTTCCCCAGGAAAAAATCCATTCATTTGCGCAGTTGGTATAGTTTGTTTTAATGTAGCTATTTAACTTAAATTGGTTAATTTATCTTTCAGGGACCTTATTCTGGAGGTTTCTAATTGTTGAAATATATGCTGGAACATGTTGCTCCAGTGAAGCTATTTAGCAGGACTGAGGATATATATGTATCAATCACTGAAATTAACTTTAAGAAATGTTTCTTAAATTAATTAGCTCTGGTTTATGAAAGTTTATACAGCTCTGATTTTGTTAATCTGTGAGGTGCATCTCTACCCTGCCTTCTAGCTGATTTCAGACTAACATGGCCAGCTACGTCTCTCTCAAATTAACTGGATACTTTCATCTTGGGAGATACTTGATCCAATCATCAGAAATAAATCTACTCCTTTCATTTGGGGTGCCTTGAAGTCATATTTTTTCCACGTACCGTGAATACTTCTTGCTCGAGGTGTTGCAAAGGTTTAGGGTCAGTTTGTTCAATTGTCATTTGATTTGCCCCTTTGGCCTGAGATACAATTTTACTTATTAAATCCTCTGACTGCAGCTTTGACCCGGAGGTCACTTAGAACTCCAGTGATTCTTGCTGCTTCTTTCTAATTTTATTTGACATATGGCTCTAGATCAACTACCATGGTTGTTTTTGGTATTTTGTCTTTTCCAAGAACTGCTCTCCTGGCTTGCTCTTTCAATGTGTTTAGTTTTCTGATCACCACCTTATTCCCTTCAGTATTGCTTTCTCTCTCCCTTCCTCCTGTGCTGATTCATGCAGAGTAAAAACTTTCCTGACTTAGTGTGCCATTTTGAACACCCTTCATATTTTGTACCATCCCCTTCTATAGATGGCACGTTCCCAACAATCAACTCCACTATCCTCTCTTTCTCTGCTCTCCCTTTATGTGCAACCCTGACTCTCACCTCACATCCACATCCCACACTGCTGAGCATCTCTGGAGTGACCCCCAGGGATCCACTTTTCTGTTTCCCATGGAAAAACAGAAAAAAAATGTAGATTTTCCTTTTAACCAAGAAAAATGAGGATTTTTCATTTTAACAGAGAAACACATGGATTTTCCATTTTTGCAAAGGGCTCTCTGCAGGTTGGTAGAGTTTCAGCCTGCAAGGGGCAGGGGGAGGAGGGGGGAGCAGGAGGAGGGCAGTCAGGCAAGGGGCACCATGTCCATGTATGCACTCACACATGCACATAACTGCCAGGCAGCCTGGAGAGCAGACCCTGCAAGTAATCCAGGAGAGCAGATCCTCCAGATGGTGGGAAGGAGGTGGGGATTGAGGCCCCCATAGTGATGAAGAGAGGAAGGGAGTTGGGCAGGGCTGGGGCTGGGGCTGCTGCCCAGCTGGAGTGGTGCTTGGGTCCTGGGGCTGGAATATAGTTTCATGGTTGGTAAGGTCAGAAGGGACCTGAGCAGATCATCAAGTCTGACCCCCTGCCATGGCAGGAAAGAGTACTGGGGTCAAACGACCGCGGCAAGGCGTTCGTCTAGCCTCCT